GTTCTGCATCGACTCTCTTTCCTGCAACTTCCACCACTACGAGAAAATAGTGGAATCCTTTGGGGTCAACTGGCATCTCTGCAAGATCTGCCTGATGTGTTGCATTTGGTTTCCATACAATTACCTTTGGGCGTTCTGTTGACTTTTCCTTTAGGGGCTTTTTGTATAGGTTGTAATGCTCTTCACCTTTTAAAATTTGTGCTGGTACTCTGGATAGACTGTAGTACTTGTAGTAATTCTCTAATTGTGACATATTACGACAAATTAAAGGAAAGATTTCAGACTTCAAATCTCAAGATGACACGATTTTACTGTCTAAAGTGCAAGAAGGAAACTGAGACTGCTAGTGAAATACAAGATATGACTACAAATGGGCATTATCGGCTGCATGGTGACTGCACAATTTGTGGTATGCATAAGAATACTTTTACTGGAATAGACTGGGTGATCAAGAAGAAGACTAAGGAGAAAAAGAAAGAAACAGCTGCTAAAAGACAGCAGACAGCTTACAATCGGCAATGCAAAAAACTTGGACAGAAAATCTTAGATTCTGATGACGCGTGTAAACAGTGTATTGATAAATGCCTTAAAGAGGCAAAAAAGAGGAAGACGGATTAGTACTACCTTTTAAAAGTATTCTTTATTATCTGAATCATCTTGGTATACCCATTGTTCAATTACTTATTTTTTCTGATGAGAACGGGACGGGGTTGGTCTTACTGGCTCTATAGACCTTCTAGGGGCTTACCTGCTAACTTACCTGGTTTGCTATCTCACTGCTTCCAACAGATTATTAGACGGAATCCTGACTTGTTCCAGATGTTCCGGATGTGGCGGATCTGGGGGGTAAAAATAAAATTTTTTCTGGGGGGATGTCCTCTCATAATTTTTCTGAAACATCTGCCACATCTGCCACATCCAGGACAACCCTCTCATTATATCCGTTATTGCTTCCTTTTCTATTGTTTTCTAGTTATTTGGTATATATATTTGTTCCAGATGTTGTCCCAGATTGTGGCGGATATATGGGGATTCCTGAGCCCCGTAGGGGCCAGATAGGTACTGCGACGGGTCGTAGACCCGGAGGTGGGTGGTGCATGCACCTCCCACATCCAGCCCGACGACAATAACCAATCGACTCAACAGAATGAGAGAAATAATGATTCCAATGAATCCGGTATGTAGTTATATGAAAAACTATCACAAATCGATTTAGTTTTAACCCGATTTCCTTTTGTAGCTTTACAGATGCAGGTTGAGGAGTTGACTCGCCTGCTTAAAACTGTTACGAAAGGAAAGCAGAAGGTAACTGATCCAAAAGAAATATTATTGACTGGTCCAACGTGGATCTGGAAACTCAAGGTCCAAAGAGCCGAAAGAACCAGTACGTGATCAGGTCATTGAATAAGCCTAAATATGTGCAAAAATACGGTATACCGGGATCATCAAAAAGCGTGCAAAGCAGACTATCTCCATTCCCATCCCCATCCTCTTCCTCTTCATCTTCATCAACTTCATCCTCACCATCCTCAAAATCGGCACCATCCTCAAATTCAGCGCCATCCTCAAATTCATCATCATTTCTTCATTACGAAGAAATGAATAGGGATCAGAGGAATGCTTTAAGAGTACCGTATTTTATTTTAATTCGTTTTAATTATCCGAATTGCTGCTAATCAATTATGATAATCTCACGATTAGGGCGAAATAGTCAGAATAATGGACTGACTTCCAGACAATAAAAGTCTAAATATAAAAAAAACCTTTGAAAGTCAACGAAAAAAAGTGAATAATATCATCCCGGTTGTTCAAAAATCAATTAATAAGAAGTTCTTCCTGGTGACCGATGACGTCATTAAACATGTCATTCATGAACGTCATCGGCACCAACGGGATAAACTTCTTAATGCAAGATGATGTGCAAATTGGGTAAAAAATGATAAAAGAAGGCGGCACGCAAATTCCCGATGAAGTAATGTAAATATTAAATTATTTTGTTTGATATTACCTTTTCTTATTAATAAATATTTCCTATTATTTATTTAGAAACGTGAAAGAAGATCAAAAATCATCAAAAAACTAACCACGTTAAAGAACAGATTGGTAGATAAATTCTACGATGAAGAGCTCAGACCTGTTCAGACCGAAAATAGATAACACAGTCCGGAGGAATCAGAAAACGATAAAGACAACCCAAACAAAAATAAGATCATCATCAAGGATCTCAAATGGAGATCGTCTTCTGTAAGTATTCGAGTAATTTTTACCAATCGGTGTATCTTAATTTAATACTATTTTTATTTGTATAGCTACGTATATTTCTTCAAAATTATGTCGATAGTGCGGCTTCATCAAAGTCTTGACGTGTAAGAAATCGGGAGTATGGTAATTACGCAACTAACGAAATCGATGCACCAATTAACGCCCCACGATGAACTAAAGACGGCTACAATAGATCCCTAAAACAGCTTATCGAGAAATATAGTGAAAATAAATGCTCTCCTCCGGAAGAAACTGATGAAAACCAGGATCCACTGGAAGAAGATAATCAGGCCGGAGAAGATGAAAATCAAGAAGTTGTTGATGAAAATCAAGAAGAAGTTGACGAAAATCAAGAAGAAGTTGAAAAAAATCAAGAAGACGAAGAAGAAAATCAGGAAGACGAAGAAGAGGATCAAAATAAAAATAAAAGAGGTGTTAGTATTGTTTCCTCTGAATATGATAGTATCAGCAGCGAATAGTGGAATAGTCAAATTATATAAATAACAATTTTAACAATATCGGTATTTCAATAAAACTGATTTTTTAGTATATTAAATATTTTAAATATTTTAAATAAAATTGTAAATTTTCGTAAATTTTTAAATAAAAATGTATGGCAATCGGAAGATTTCTTATTGTTATAAATTTATCAAATAGCTATAAATCGGTATACTGATATGTCAAATAGTAAATATTCTATTGGTAACTATTAATACCCGATTGTACTCTATTGAATATCCCGATTGGTACCCAAGTATCCTCCTTTTGCGCCATCTTTTGGCAGCAATCGGGTTTACCGATTGATGAAAATTTTTTAAAAAATAGGGACCAATCGGATGGAATTTGGTCACCTGATTGGTCCCTGATTTGACATCGTTCGACTAGTAAACCCATCAAAAGAACATTAGGAAATGTTCTTAAATGAAAAGAAATGAAAGAAACACTCCATTTTGTCTCCAAGGGGTGTTCCTACAAAAAAAATTATTGAAAAAATGTTAGAAAATGTTCTTAAATAAAATTAACAAAAAAAAATGGAAAAAAAACTTACCTTTCATCTCCAAGATAGAGTCTATAGGGGTGTTTCTATAAAAAAAGTTATTGGAATAACGTTAGGAAACATTCTTAAACAAAATTAACAAAAGAAAATGAAAAAAAAATTACCTTTCACCTCCAAGAGTTTACAGGGAGTATTCCTATAAAAAAAATTATTGAAAGAATGTTAGAAAATAATCTTAAGTCGTAATCCGTGAGAGATCGGCACTAAATTACTATATAATTTTGGGGTAAAAATCTGCTGATCTTATATTAAAATAAAAAATTACCAACAATAGTGGCAAAGTAAAAATGATAAAATTATTTCACAATTTTAATTAAATCACGTGAATAATGCATAAGCACTGTGAGAATAAAGTGTGACAAAAAAAAATAATAAATGGTAACGAAAAAAAAATTTTTTCCTTGTAGCAGCTGTAGATTTTGGCATACACGCATATACACATAGCATATAATTTCGTTACATTTACATACTATTTAGATACAAAGTTTAAAATTATATTAAAATTTATTTATAAACTATTATGTAATTATAAAAATTATTCATATTATGTTGCTAAAAAAAATAAAAAATTCAATTTTCATTTTCTTCTAAGGATCGCAAGGTCATAGCTTCTTTCCATTTGCGTGAAAAGGTTGATATCCAATTTGTTATTGTGGACACTTTAGGTACGTCATTTTCTTCAATTTCGCCTAGTTCTGCACGCCTCAACAGTTCTTCTTGCATCTGTTGTGCAGTCAGTTTTTGAAGGAAATTTGCTGTTCCAGTATGAAACATAGATTCTAATAAATGCTTCACTTGAGGAGACATTCTTTTCATTGGATCACGTTGATGAGTCTTTTCCTTTTCCTTTAGGGTCCATCCGCTGGTAAATATTAGTTGACTACAGAAAATAATAAAAAATTATTATAATTGGCACAAGTAAATGTATAGTAAGTATGTTATATTACCTTTTGGTTTCTGTTGTTCTATTATTTACATTTTCTAGATTAGTTAGATCAACTAATACCAGATTCTATAATTTTATTATATTAGTTTAGTTGTAATCAATTATTCCAAAACATCCCAGAAATTATTATTACATACCAATTCATCCTATGTTTGATCCTCTTTGTTGTCTAAACAAGCAACTGTGTTACTTTGAACTGGATGTAAGTACAACAATTGGAATACTCACTTGAAACGGACATGGTCCATTGTTTTGTGGATTGTGTGTGTGGTGTAAAAGTAGGGTTTGGTTTTTCAATTATTTGTTTTTTGACTATTTTTTCTATTTTTTCAGGCGACCATTCTTTCCATTTTCCAATCCCTGGCAATGCACGTGCATAAATATAACCAACTTTTTCTTCATCTGTGGGCCAGGTCCATTCTTGCAGGTTAGAAATTCCTGTTATTGTACCCAATTTTGCTTTATCTAAAATTCATAAACATTAGATAATTACAAAAATAATTTTATATTTATTGAAAATTTTACACTTCACTGTACCATTATCATGATTAGGATTCAAATTTGCAATATGGGCGCCTGCTATGTCTTTTATAGCAAATTCAATATCATTTCCACCATTGACATCATATCCGAGCTTTACATATCTTTTTATTGCCTGGGAGATCTTATAATACCAACAAATTGTTAGGATTATCTTTGATTTCCAAGACAATAACAATATAGCCAAATGCACACCTGTGCATGATGGGAATCGATAGCAGTTTTAGCCTCTCCTGCTTCAAGAAAAACCCATTTGCGAGGTATTATATTGTACCATTCTTTCCATTGTCCGATAATTAACATCAATTCTGTGCAATGATAATGCATACCATTATCTGACATTATCGTTATCCATTTAGGTTTTGGATTCATTGTCTCTATTACAGTATGGAGAGAAGATGCGGTAAACCACGCGTCTTGGTGTGTATCATTGGACCAGTGATCAAAAACTTGGATATCCAATTGATTTTGTTCTGTATTTTTAGTATATACAAGGACAGAATGGAGACTCCAACCTCTTTTACCAAAAAATTCTGTTTTAGTCTCTCTTGAACTTTGAGGTAGAATTTTCATCTTGTAATCTACAATTATCACAGCACCCTCTTCATCTAATTCTTCTAAATTTGTTCGCACATGAATATTCAGATAAGTTTTACGAGCATGATGTGCCATCCATGCTATAAGCTTTTGTTGATATTCATCAAGTGTTTCAGAATATTGTTCACCGATTGCTGCTTTTAGTTCTTCAAAAAAAACAAAAAGACTTTCACATTTTGTACAAGTGACTGGATGATCAAGATCACAAGCTCCAAAAGCATGTCGTATACAGTGACTAATACAAGAATTGTGAACTGCAATGCCATTTGATGTAACTTCCATTTCTTTGGAATATTGTCGACGTATGTATCACCGTAATTCTTGGGATTTTACTAATAAACGCTTCTAATAAAACAAGACTGAATCAATTGACTTTATAAATAAACTTTACTTTTATAATTATTTTATTTTCTTACCTTTAGGAGTTCATCCGTGATATGAGCAGAAATCATTACTCCAAATACCATATAGCCACAATCATTGCATGTAGAGCATAAACCACCAAGATTCTCTCAATATACATATTGACCACCTTCAAGACACATCATAAAAGATGTACGACACATACCATTAGGATATTCTTCTGAAAATCTTTGCCATAGTGCTTTTTTCGTATCTTGTAAGTATTTGATAGGTTTTCCTGTTTTGGTATCAGTTTTGTACGAGCTCATATTGACAAATTCTTTATCATTTAGAAACCTATCAATTTGTTCAAGCATTTCAGGTGTAAACCTTTGTCAATGAATTATTGGTTTTACACGTGTAGGAGCTCCATAACCAATACTACGTGCATGTTTGCGAGATTCTAGAATGGTATGTTGACCAACCTAAATATTATCATAGGTAAAATAATTGATCAATAGATAGTGATATTATACATAAAATAATAAAAAATACTTACATTCAAGTTTTGCTTCAATTCTTCATAGGTAAACTCGTTGGCAATTATGGAGAGAACACGCTGTTTTCCATCAGGACCTTTTTTGTTATTAGCAAGTGCCTGTTTAAAACATGTCCAAAATGTACGTGTTGCATTTGGCATATTTTTTGGAATGCTGGTAAGAAATCCCCTTTTATATAAAGTAGAAAATGCTGCTTTATCTGCTTGTCCGTTAGGTGATTTTGTCCACAATTGATGCTAATATACAAAATTTATTTATTAGTTTTTTTAGTTTTATCTAAATAAATTTGAAATTTTGAAATTTTATTTACCTGCGATTCTTCCCGTGACCAAGGTGTTATATTAGTTGCGCTAACTGCATTTAACATAGACTGCCATGCACTCAATTCACGATCATTAAATTCATATCCTAAAGGGTATATTGTGCGTAAAGTAGATTCTAATTCAATTACTGGATTTTCAGACTCCATCCAATTTTTAAAAAAAAGTTTCCAATTAGCATTTGCGATAGTTCTTCTTTTTACATAATAATCAAATAATCGTTTCAAAATAAATTCATTATTCCAATCATTAAGAGTGCATTTTGGTATCTGATGTAATTGAATTAGATTTTTTGTAATGGAATCACCAAGTCCAAAAAGTTGTGTACCAGTAAATTTTTGTAATTGTCCTGTTTTTTGCCATACTTCATCTGGCGTTGTGCCTATGAATTGTCTTTTTAGTGCACATTACTGGTATATTTCAACAATACATTTTTTTTCTTCAAAACGTGATACATAAATAGATTGCTTTTTTTCATATGTATATATGAGCGAAGCTTGAAAGTCTGGACCAGCATAACACCATTTTTCACGTGAAGAAATTCCAATATTATAAACAAAAATTTTATAATTTCCTACATTAACAGTGACAGGAGTATATTCAATATCTTGTTTTAAAATTTCAAGAATATTATTATCATTCCACCCCATTGTTTAATATCCTGAATAACGCGTTGATGTATTAAAACAGCGTTTATATACTGTTGAAATAGCTTTTGTGGAACTATTTTCTATAACAGTATGTGATCCACTTTGACAAAAATATACTGGTAATAAAGCAGTATTATCAAAGCCAGTTTGAGTTTTTAAAATAAAATCTTCTCTGTTAAGACAAACTTTAGTTTGTTGTCCCAGCCTGATTGGAAATAATGAGTTGTCTTTACTTGAAATTAAGGTTGCTTTTCTAAACCTCTTCAAAATCCTACGATTAGTTTCGTCAAAATTTTACTATAGATTTATTATAGTTTCGGTAGAGTTTCGGCAGTTTCAGCATTTATAATAAGTTTTGGCAGTTTCACCTTTTTCCAAAGTTTCACCAGTTTTTTAATATAACTTTAATATAGTTTTGGCAGAATTTCGCTTTTCGGCGAAACGCCATCTTGCCTAAACCCCTAGGTTTCGGCAAGCAACCTTACTTGAAATTGCCCACCCAAAGAAGGAATAAGGTCCATAATGAAGTTCAGAAATTAGTGAACCGGATGTTATTAAAGTAACATGTAAGTTTTGAGCTATTTTAATTTAATATTACACTTTATTATGTATCTTATCCCCAAATTTACTTGTACAAATCATATGATCTGGTGCTGATCATTCACGGATCACGACTTAAACAAAATGAATAGAAAAAAATGAAAAAAAAAATACCTATCATTTCTAGGAGTCTATTTTGTCTCCAGGGTATTCTTACAAAAAAAGGTAATTAAAAGAATGTTTTTAAATGAAGTAAAAAAAAAAAAATAAAAAAAAAANAAACAAAAAAAAAAATAAAAAGTAAAATAAAAAATATCAACCAATAAAATTTTAAAATCACATCACGTAATAGTGGTGCATTTGAAGTTTGCTTTTATTACTAACATAATTGTAAAAAAAAATAATTAAGTTAAAAAAGGTATTTGTACGTCATGCTGTCACGTGTATCACAGTTATTGAATTTAGACTTTTTAAAGTTTCAACTCTTTTAAAGAGTTTGATCAAAGCCAAAACTTTTTAATTATTTTTTTTAACTTTCTTTTAAAAGTTTCAATCAAACTGTCAAAACTTTTTTTTTAATTTTCTTTAAAAAGATTTGAACTTTCAATCAAGCTATTGTTACCGAATGATGACGATAATTAAGAGACGAATGGCAAATGACTTATACCGTATATCTACACAGATACTAACGAAATTCTTACTCAATACTACCTATCCAAGGTATTTCCAGTATTGTTTGTTAAGAATCGTCAAGGTAAACAACTATAAAATACGATAAATAATAATACGTGATAATGTATAAGGTAAATCTTATATAGATGTAAAATAACCAAATGTAACAATTTTATTTATTAAAGGGCACTTTCGGTCTACAATAAAACGAATAAAGGTGATAGAGGAATTTTCTCAAGAATAACTATAAAGGTCCCTGTTTTATTATGTTGGTAGAGGCGTATTTATATCTTACTGCCATCTCTTTTTTCTAATAATCAAAGGCGAAATCTAATCTATAGATGTCTAATCATTAATGTTTTATCACAATATCACAATAGCGATAATTTTTATTGTAAGCCACTTTTAAATAGAATACAATTGATAATTTTGGACAATTAATACTATTGAACTAATTCTCACACAATTATTTTCTAATAAATTCTAATAAAATTGTATATATATAAACCATACAAATAAAGAAAATAAATAATATAACTAATAATAAATAAATAAATTAAATAAATTAAATAAATATAAAAACAATATATAAGTAAATTTATCATATAAAATCAATGTCTTTAATATAGTTAACTGATATACACAAATCAGCAACTATACATCGGCGTAAATTGACTTGTAACATCAGAAATCGATGTGTACACAATGTACCAAAATTTCATCAGATCATCATACAATATCAGAAATCACATGCACAAAAATTCGCATAACACTATCAAAACTTTTTTTATTTTTTTTTTAAAAAAAGTTTCTATTGAACTATCAAAGCTTTTTAATTAATTGTTTTTTTTTTGATCGAGCTGTCAAACCTCTTTTTTAAAAGTTTAATCAAACTGTCAAACTTCATTTTTAACTTTTTTTTAATTTCAAATTTCAAAAAAAATTTTTGGCACAAGATTTTGGTATGTGCAATTTTTTTTTATTTTTATCCTTCTTTAAATAAACATTATTATTAATATTCACATTTTTTAGGTGTTTCTTGACTTGAAAACCGGTAAGCAGGACCCCGAAAAATACATATAAAAGTCAGAGATGATCGGCAAAATTTTGCCTTAAAATAAGCAAATGTTTTTACTAAGATCAATACGCAAAGTTGACTTCTGACTTTATAATTTATATTAGA